TCAGTCTTCCACCCAAGAGCAGGCATGGAGAGAGGAGCCCCGTGCACTGTCATTCTCGGAGAGGTACAGGAAGCCCATCAATTTCTCCATAGATCGTATAATGTGATATTATTTATTCATTTCATATTAGTTGATTTTGTATAACAATATTTTATGAGCAGGACTCCAAAGGCCAAGGAAAAACCCCATTATCTTTCAGTTCCATTTTTCTACAAACTTTTTGAAGCCCTCTCATATGACAAATATTATCGAGTAGCCTGTTTTGCCAAGCACTGGGAAAACACAGCGCAGCTAAAGCTCTTCCTTTTCTGGAATTTACCTCTATTAGAGAGCCTGGCCTCTCAGAAACCAAAGACATACATCAGTTCTTTTTAGATAGTGAAAAGTGCTCTAAAGGAATGAGAGTGGCACAGTGGTAGAGAAGGTGGGTGGCTGCAGACCTGTCACAGAGAACGCTCAGGGAAGGCCTCTCTCAGAAGCTGACACAGGAGCTGGAGTCAGAGTGGCCAGCAGGACCCAGGGCAAGAGCATTCCAGGCAGAGCAGAGCCAGCCAGTCAGAGTGGGGGCATATGGAGACAAAGTTATTCATGGGATTTTAACTCAGATTAGTCTCACAGTGGGTCCAACGGGTCTCTGCACCTACCCTGCTGGCATTTCCCCCGTTCCGGAATGCATCACTGGAAAAGGCAGATTCAGCAACTGGCAGAGCCCTCATATTGGATCCCTAAAATGTGGAATAGGTGTTAGTATGACAGGAAAGGCCAAGTGGGCACTATTAGAACTTCCCTAACTGAATTAAGACACGTGTCTACAGTGGGGCTGCTTGGGCCTTATGGTGGTAGGAGCAGCAGCAGCAGCATTTGATCAACAGAGGAGAGGTGGGCGTGGGTACCATAATGAGCAGCAGGGTCCACATGGTAATCAGATGACCTGATTCGAGGATTTTTGGCATTGGCTACTTAGGCACAGCGTCCCTGGAGTGAAATAGATGGGAAGCCTACTAAGTAATTACTTGATTTAAACGAACAGAAGAGTTCTAGATCAAGTGCACAGCAATTAGAGTTAAGTCCATGGGGCTGATGCTAGCTGGAGTCCTCTCTAGCCAAACTTAGCAGAAAGGGGAAGCAGGGTGCAGAAAGGTCACAGGTCGGAGGATGCTGAGTTCCACGGATCCAAATATGGTGAAAACACGGCAAGGTGCTGGCAGCTCTCAGGTTGGCTGCCAGGTGTTAGCAGCCCATGTGGGGCTGTCCCTGGAGGCAGGCAGAGAATCTCAGCAGGCAGAGGGTGAGGGGGTGATGGGGCAGAGAGGCGAGATGTTCCCAGTGCTTCTCTTACAAAAAGGTCACACTTCCAAGGAAGAACCTCGAGGCTGTGACTTGATTGACAGGTTAGACTCTTCCCATACACTTTTACACAAGTTCAAGTTGACAGAAAATCCAACTGCCACAGACTCACATATGATCCAACTACACACGACTAGTTCTCAGTTTGTGTTACACCCCGGTAATCACCGAGCGAGCAGGCTCCTTCTCGATGACTACAGTCCACTGATGAGGTACTTGAGTGTTAAGATCACGTTGAATTCTATAAAAAATTTCAAAATGCTTCCTCTTGATTTTTGTACATATCTAGGGGGCACTGGGAACACACAGTTTGTGGATCTCTCTGAGAACCACACTTTGAGAAGCTCCCCGATGTGGTTGGGGTGGGTCTTAGAGCTGATTTTGTCTCACGGGGACCCCATGTAATAGTGCAGAATCGCCCCGATGGCTTTCCTGGTTGTCATCTTTGGGGAAGCAGGTCACCAGCTCTCCGGTGGCATCCACTGGGAGAGGGGGTTCTTTTTGGCTAGTGGCCAAGCCCATTGCACCACCAGCACTTCTTCGCTCTGTTACAGGTTGTGCAAAGGAGCTCGGATTGTACTCAATGAGTAGTGATGAGTGGAGGCAAGAGACAAATCCAGGGTGACTTAGTGGGTTTCCGTGATGCTGTTTACTGAGATGGAGAAGGCCAATGGAGGAACGTGTGGTAGGAGGAGGAGAGAACAAAAGTTCTGCATTGGGCGTGTTCATCGAGAGATGGCTGAACCTCTTAGGGGAGAATGCAGGTCGGAAGTTAAAGATATGCTTGGGAGCTCCCAGCAGAGGTCAGGACCAGAGCTAAGTTTGGGGGGAGCTGTAATATCCTGCATATAATGCTGCTAACTAGAGGCAAAGGGACTGGATGAGTTACCAGCAAGGACCATTGATGAAAAGAAGGATTTCTGGACGTAGACAGACCTAAGACATTCTGACACGAGAGCTCTTGCCTCCACCAGTTTCAGCATGCAAGAAATTGGACTCTTCACTTTTGTGGAACGTCAGGGTGTCACCCCAGGATCCCTGGTGATGCTGTCAGGTCAGCCTTAGGCCTGCTAGCCAGAGTTGGTGGTTCTAATTCTCCAGCCACTCTCCAGGGGGCGATGTGCCCCTGCAAAGCTGGAGCGTTCCATGTAGCATCACTGAGTTGGAATTGACTTGCAGGAAATGGGATTTCGTTGGCGGGAGGAGAGAACTTCCCGAAGCACAGAATACTATCTAAAAGCACCTTAAAGCTGGCATGGCAGTAACAGTCAACGCACACAAATGGAGTCCTGGAAAGAGCGCCAGAAACGCCTCTCACTGAGAGGCTGTGATTCTGGTATCAGTTCACTTTCCGCCCGTCTATGGCACCTGCTAGCGGACTCGATTTCAACCTGTCCTTTGGGGTCTGTTCTGACTCAGTGCATTTCCACTCTGCCTGCAATTAGAAGCATTAAACAGATACTGCCGCCCTGTCAGAGATTCGGATTGAACTGCTCTGGGGTGCAGGGTGGAGAAGTGTCCTTTAACCAGTGACAGTATTTCGAGAGGCGGGAGAAGGGTGAGGCTGCACATTCCGGGACCGAGGCAGCTCTACTCTGTGCGGTAGGGTGGCTTTGAGTCGGAATTGACTTGATGGTAGTGGATTTTGTTTTAGGGATTTTAATACTATGGGGGTGACACAGAGGGGAGGAGTTCCTGGTTTATAACATTAGCGATCTGTTTACCACGTGACAGCTTTCTTCTTTATGCCCCGATACAAAGTTTTTATCAAACCGGGTGGACCTTGTCTCTCTCCACAGGCACTTACAGCACGAGAGGGTCGTGTTTCTACCAGAATCGGCCAGTGCTGTGGCAGGTTCCCCACTGATGATCTGCACCACTCCCACCCCTCGCCTCCCCCAGCCTCGGGGGTACTGCCTTCTAGACTGCAGGCTGACAACGCTCATCTTCTAACAGGAATTAGACAACGAGCAGGTGAGCCCGCATGGCCCACTGTCTGACTGTCTGCTGGTGCCATGCAGTCAGTCCCAACTTGGGGTGAGCCTCATACAGCAAACGGAAGCCACGCCCAGTCCTGCTCCAGCCTCACAGTGGTCCTGAGCTTTGAGACCATCGTTGCTGCCACGATGTCAACCCATCTTTTCCTGGGTCTGCCTCTCTTCTGCTGCCCCTCCACTTTACCAAGCATGGTGTCCTCTTCCAGGGACGGGTCTTTCCTGACCACATGTCCAAAGTACGGGAGACAAAGCCTTGCCATCCTTGCTTCTAAGGAGACATATCGTGTCTTACTTCTCTCCAGACATATTGTGTTGTTGTTGTTGTTACTCTGGCAGTCTGTGGGACTTTTAATATATTCTGTGCCAGTAACATAACGCATTCATTCTTCTGTGGCCTTCCTTATTCCATGTCCATCTTTCACACGCATAAGAGGGGATGGAAAATCTCATGGTTTGGGCCAGATGCACTTCAGTCCTCAAAGTAACTCCTTGCTTCCCAACACGTTGAAGAGGTCTTGTGCAGCAGAGTAACGGAATGAACGGGAATGAACGCGCGTTTGCTCCCTTGACTGCTGCTTCTGCGAGCCTTGGTTGTGGCTGCACCAAGATGAAATCCTGGACAATTTCAATCGTTTTCTGGTTCTCATGATGTAATCTGTTGGTCTAGATGTGAGGAATTCCCCCCATGATAATTAGAGAAAGACAACTCTCCATTTCTAGTAGCGGGCACCGTTGTGTAATGAAAAGGACCTGCTGGGAAGATGAGTCAATCAGGAGAAGAGTGAGTTATTCTTTGGAAGGAAGACGATCTGCAGTGGTGGGACAAAGCTGTTCCTTGTGTGTCTGACCGAACTCAATCTTTCTTTATTTTGGGGGCTGGGTGACCCCTGCAGCGATCTCCCCAGTGCGTCAGTGAGCACTCACGAGTGAATTGTAGGTTGCCTGTGAAGGGCCTTTGATGGAGCTCTAACTGCTTCCATTGACTCCCTGGGAAGGCTTAGGTCACAAGCTTGGCGGGAGCACAGGAGCCCAGATAAAGAAGAAGGTTTTACCCCCTTGAAACAAAGCCAGAAACTCTATCTACTTCATTGTGCACTTTGGGTCATGTGCTAAGGATGAGGCTTTCTCCAATACTAATCCCCCTAATGAGGGCTTCTCCCAGCCCTTACATAAGCCCCACAAGGCCCCGTGGCTTGGCAGGCCCACCCCAGCAAAGGCAGCGCGGCACTGGCTTTTGAACTGAGTTCAAGGCAATTAAAGTCAAGGAGAAAAGGAGCGGTTATAGACATAGCAGCGTAATAAGTAGTATAGCTGGAGTGTTCTGTAAATTAACTCAATTAGACAAAGCCTGATTTAACAGAGGGGAGCCTGGTGGGAAGCAGTCCCCTCATTAAATCTGGCTGCTAGCAGAGCTTCTCATGGAATTTGTTTTACTTGTCTCAGACTGCGAACCACATGAAAGTGTGTGCATGCGTGTGGACACGTGTAGATTCTGTGGTTTTTAAAGTTTGTTTGTATTGTTTTTAGAAGAGAAGAGGGATTGACGGCAAAAATAAGCCCCCTCGATATTACCTCCGAAAGAACAAGAGAAAGAGAACAAAGCGAATGCTCCAGAATCTCAGAGTGGTGGGGAGAGAGAGAATTGGTGTAAGAGGAGATTCTCCCAGGTCTAAAGCCATGGGCCCATTAACATGGGGACTCATGCTCAGTTGCCTGGGCTGTGGGATTCTGCCCTTGACTTGGGCTCAGTTTCCTCGGGTCTGCATGACAGTGGGCAGCCTGGCATCCAAAGAGTGCTGTCCACCCCTGGGCGTGGAGCCAGCCAATGTGTGTGGCTGGCAGGAGGGCCGGGGACAGTGTGGAGAGGTTGCAGCTGACTCCAGGCCCTGGAGTGGCCCTTATGTCCTGCGGAACCGAGATGACCGAGAGCAGTGGCCCAGGAAGTTTTTCCAGCGGACCTGCAGGTGCACAGGTAAGAGGTCCCTGTGGGCAACCGTGGCCCACTCTCAGAGCTGTGGGTGGGCCCCAAAGAGCATCCTTCTTGGGAAAAAGATGAAGCGTTTCACCGAGACCAAGTTTTGAAAGTCAAGCTCTGGTTTGCTATTCTGCAGGAAGCATGTGGGTTAAGGCTGGTGTTCTAGTTACATTCTTCCCATGATCTTGTGTATCTAATTATGAACATGAAATAAATATGACATGGGCAAGCCTGATCATAAGAACCCATGCCAACACACTGTTGGCTCGCTTGCTGGAAGCATGCTAAAGAGCTCACAGTCAGCTTTGAAACTGGGAACAAGTCCTTTCAAGATCGGTTCGGACCCTTCTCCTTCTGTAATGGGTTTGCACTTGTTGAAGGAGGGGGTGAGGCTTGGCATTTAGAAGGAAGAAGTCAAGGCCAGGGTTCTGAAGCCTCGTCTCTGCATTTCTGATGCTTGGAGCAGATCCCAGGTGGGGTCTGTCATCTCATTAAAGGGATGACTGGGATGTAATTTTGCTCATGTGGGTGAGAAGTGGCAAGACATAGCTTCCTCAGTCAGCCGGGGAAGGGATGGTTGTTAGTGTATGAAAATGTTCCCCCACCCCCCGCCACACACACACTTTCTCACTCTGGTCCTGCTGTGAATTAGACATTTAGAATTTCCTCACAGTGGCTCTTTCAGAGCCTAGTCTCTCTTGGTACCCATTTCTTGGATGTCTCTGCATCCCTGGCTCCTCTGGTTCCAAGCCTCTCTGCCCTTGGCTTGGTGTTGCTGCCTCCGCTCAGCAGTGGTAGGAGTAGCCACCACAAAGCCCCTTTAGAGCAGCTGGCTGCGTACGCCTTTGTCCCCTTCTAAGCGTGTCTTTAACTTCTGTTCGCCCATGAAGCTGGAACATGGGAAAATACTGAGTTATGGCAAGTTGTGTAGGGAGTACAACCAGAGTCCTCCTTAGAAGCAAGAATGGCAAGAAGTCGTCTCACAGACTTTGGACATGTTGTCAGGAAGGGCAAGTCCCTGGAGAAGGACTTCATGCCTGGTACAGTAGAAAACAAAACAAACCAAAACCAGGCTCCCTGCCAGTGAGCTGCTGCGGACTCATCGTGACCCCCTAGGACAGCTCGAACTGCCCCTGTGAGTTTCTGAGACTGTAACTCTTTACAGGAGAAGAAAGTCTCCCATTTCTCCTGAGGAGCTGGCTGGTGGTTTCAAACTGCTGACCTTGTAGTTGGCAGCCCAGGGCAATGAAAAGGAGGAAGACCTTCAATAAGATGACGCAGTGGCTGCAGCAATGGGCTCAAGCAGAGCAAGGCTGAGGATAGCTCCCCACCAGGAGGTACTTCATTCTGCTGTAAATAGAGTGGTTATGCACCAGAACCAACGTGGTGGCTGATAGCAACAAAGCCGAGTCCACAAAGCTGACTGCTACCCAAAGGCTGGTGTTTTATAGCCAAGAGGTGCCTTAAGGGCCCTGTTGATGCACTAGACTGCTTGGGCTGTTCACAGGGAAGTCAGCAGTTCAAAGCCATCAGATGCTTCCTAAGACAAAGATAAGGCTTTCAACGCTCGTAAAGGTTTATAGTCTCAGAAACCCTCTGGGGCAGTTCTAGCCTGTCCTATCCAGTCGCTATGAGTCAGAATTAACTTGATGGTAGTGGATTTCATTTTGAGAGACTCGTTAAGGAGCCCTCTTGGTGCAGTAAATTACAGGTAAATTGCTAACCCCCAGGTCAGCAGGTTGAAACTACCAGCCATTCCATGGGAGAAAGATAAGGCTTTCTGCTCCCATAAAGATTTACAGACTCAGAAACCCACAGGGGCAGTTGTTCTTGTTAGAAGGGCCTGGTGGCACCGTGGGGTAGTGGGGTATGTGCTAGGCTACTAATCACAAGGTCAGCAGTTCAAACCACCAGGAGTTCTTCAGGAGAAAGATGAGGCTTTCCATTCCCATAGAGTTACAGTCCCAGAAACCCACAGGGGAAGTTCCAGCCTGCCCTAGATGGTCTCTATGGCAGGAATTTGGGGTTTTGGTGGAGAGGTGGCTTGGAAATCAGGCTCGTTTCTACAGCCTTGAAACCCCTATGGAGCAGTTTCACTCTGCAAGCACAGGGGCGAGGAGAATAGGGGAAAAGTAGGGTGTTAAAGTAGTTGTCAGTTTAATACAACGTGTTTAAAAACATTTTTTAAAAAATCTTACTTTAAAATAATTTTGTAGTCATGTTGCTAATTTTGTGATTAGCTCTTGGGCCTTCGTTTTGCCCTGGGCCAATCCTATGAGAAACATTTTTAACAGCATGTTGGTACACACTGTTCGTGTCTTCTATGCTCTTGAAGTATTCGATCCTCTTGCCATTGCCTCACAGATTCTCCTAGCGTTTCTGCTTGATGAGAGGCAGCAGGCCCATAGCGCTGTGCTGCTGGAAATCACGTTGCCATGGTAACTTCTTCGTTGATGACTCAGAACTACTTCCAGAGTAATTATTTCCAGGTCAAGCAACAGTGACGTGCCATGAGTTATAAAGATTGGGCATTTCCACTTCATTGAAGCCCAGGGCAGAAGATTTTAGAAGTCAGACATAACTGTTAACTCATCACCACCTACTTTTTCTATTTTTACCTGCTTAGAAACTTCTTAAAATAAGGTGGGAGTGACAGAATAAACTAGTGAATAGTGGCACAGAAACAATTGCTACTTTTTTTATTTTACTGAGTGTGTTAATCTGGTTACTTTAGAGAAACAAATCCACAGAAACTCATGTATAAGAGAGAGTTTTATGTAAAAGTTAAAGGCACATCAAGAAAACACCCCAACCCAGTGCTGCCCAAGCCCACAAGTCCATCATTAATCCATTAACCCATATGTCCAATACCAGTCCACAAAGTACTCCTCCATCTCACAAAACACACACTATGATACCAACTGCAGGAGGAGAGCCGAGTCAGTGAACGTGTAAGGGCTGCATCTGGATAGGTCCACGTGGCTTCTCCTCAGGGATGCAGGAAGTGAACCTTGCCAGCTGAAGCAGGGAACTGGCTAAGGCAGCTGCACCCTGGTCTGACCATCACAAAGCAAGAGACCAGAGAACTTGAAAGGCGAGGCTCACTGAGCCATTTATCCCTTTGCCCTTCAATTAGCCCCACATGTGTTTATCGGTCAGGCTGGCACAATGAGCTTTAACTATATCACTGAGGGACTGCTTAAAAATAATCCTCTGGAAGTGAAAGGAATTTAGGACCACAGTATCCTCCTTTCTAAAAATGTAAGGAAGGGGCTCCCTGCTCCGTGCGTCGCAGTGAGAAAGTACGTGCCTACAAAGGACCAAACCAAACTCGCCGCCATCTCGTTGGTCCAGACACATAGCAACTCCTGAGGACAGGGTTCAACGGCCCCCCGGTTTCCTGCTCCAGGCCGCCGTCTTTCCAGAAGTTGACGGCCACTTTCCTGAGCAGACACTGGTGGATTCAAACCACTGACTTTCTTGTTGGCAGGCGAGTGCTTCCCCACTGAGCCATCCACGTGGCTTAACCATGGAGCAAGGTATGCACAAGTGTAATAGTGTTTACATGATAATCTGTGATGAGCAAAGTCATGGGGCCCCTATATCTTTGGCGTGGTGAGGGACAGGCGAAACGGTGGGTGCACGGCAGAAGGCTCAATGGGGCCTGTGCATACCTTACTTATTGGGTAATCCAGCCTTGGCACCAGTAGGGCTCTCCTAAAAAGGCAGTGGGCCAGGAATAGGACCGCTGTCCTGTATGTGCAGGCTGCAAGGAGAAGACAAGGAAGACCCGCTTGGTGGCATGGTGTCTCAAGAAAGCCAGGGCCAGGACAACCACTGGCTCTCAGCCCCAACTCTGATCCTCCTTCTGTTAGCCAAGAAGGGCCCTTCAGTTGTCTATGTCTTTGCAACTCAGGACACCTGCCTGGAAAGTTACTTAATATCCACAATTCTGTGCGTCCTACCAGGTCTCTGAAAACAAGGCACTGGTCCTTTGATTTATCCTCTCCCAATGATGAGTCGCTTGCTTTCCTAGGACAGTTTTTCCAGGTTAACACTTTTCCTCAATTAGAATTTAAACCTGACCTTCATCCCCCAAACCATTCCTGTCTGCAAGCCTGCACTGCTCCTAAGGATGTTCAAAAACCCTTGGGGAAGAGATGTAAGTTATCTTCTGGGATTCTGACTACCTATGACTCTGAGTTTTCTTAAGTGATTGCTTAATTCAATCCTATGGTTAACCCTATTAGTAGAAATGAATACAAACTCTTGCAAAAAGAACTTGAAAAATGCTGTGCTCAATTCTTTATTATTCTCTGTAGAACTAAATTGGAACACCACCACCACCAGATTATGCTGGAAGAGCTACATTTCAGGACACTTTGGCATAAGCCAGTTACCTACCAAATCTTACCTGCCAGTTGACATTTATGGGAACATGCCAGTTGCAGCTGTGTCTCCAGGCTTTTGAAAAGCTTGCACATTAAATAGGTTTTGAACAATTGGCTGAGAATTTCTTGTTTGTACAAGTGACTGAGTGCCTCCATTTTCCAATCTCTGAAATGGGGATAATGATTAAACCACACTTGTAAAATCCTTTTGAGCTCTGTAGATGAAAGGCCCTATGGGAGTATTAAGTATTGTTATTAAAATAATAGAATCTTTAATTAAAAGGAATAGGCTATTTAGCATTACTTGTAAATGCGCTAATCGGTGGTCTTTAGGCTTAGTTAGTCTAATAGTCTCCTGAGGTTGGGTTGATGTAGTTCATGTAGGAACGTGCAGTGTTTGCTTGTGTTCACCGTCTCCATATTTACCCTGCTCATTAGCAGGCACAGGACTCTGCCTGCCAACCCTTAATTCCTGCTCCAGGACGTACTCAATGATAGATCAATTGGTATCACAAGAGATCTCCCCCACCCTCCACTTCTTAGCAAGCTAAACAAAAGTCTTGAAAATGACATCACTTCTCGTGTTGTGTTATTCCTGCTGATGTCAATAGCAGGGAACATATCAGTAGGGGGGAAGAGCCAGCTTAGATTGATGTAAAATCCTACTGAAAGCCCAGTTCCACGAAGTCAATTCCAACTCATCGTGATCCTGTATCTGGTTTCTGAGCCTGTATCTCTTTACAAGAAGCAACGGTCTCTATCATGACTCTTCGTTGTTGTTGTTTACCTTTGTATTGTGAATTGAGAGAAGTTTTACAGAGCAATCCAGTTTCTATTTAACAAGGCAGATACAATTTACGTCATGTGATTGATTGCGATCCTCAGGGTAGCCCACTTCCCCCACTTTCCCACTGTTTCCTGTTTCCATTTCTCCTCCTGGCCCAGCCCTTCCTGTCTCTGAACTTTGTCCTGTGGCAAATGCTGTATTTTTCATATGAAATGACTGAGAACGCTAAGGAGAGCACACCTTTCTTTATGACTGCTCACTTTAGAGACCCGTCTATTGTTTAGCTGAACTGGAAGCCACTGGGACAGACATGATGAGGCTCAGAGTGCAGACGTGACACTTATCCATAGTGTAGTGGTTAAGCAATTCAGATGTGGAAACAATAATAGCAACACTATTTGATAAATGGTGTCTAATAATGTGAGTGTTAATGCAGCACCGAATATTGAACCTACTTGGTGGCAGACACTAATGTAAATGCTCTCTTTCTATATTAAGGCCCTTGTTGTTCATAAGGATCCTATACAGAGAGGTTAAACAACTTGCTTACACAGCGTTACTAAGCGTGCACTAAAACACTATATGGGGAAATGGGGAGCTAATAACAATGAGTAAAAGAATGAAGGAAATGTTCTAAAATCGATTGTGGTGATGGCTGTACAACTCTTCTCGATGTGGTTGACTATTGCCTTGTGTGGTACGTGAATTATATGCCAACAAACCTGTTGGGAGAAAGAAGCAACATACTATGGGAGCACAGAAGAGGGTACGTTTCGCATTGACTGCCCTGCAGGGAGTAAGTGTTCAAGAAATTATTTGCCGAATGAGAGACCATTTGCTATTGCTGATTTTGTTCTTGTAAATCCCAAAGATTCCTAATAAAAACGCAGAAAAGTAAATCTTTGTTTAAAATCATTTTATCGTACAGCTCTTATCACAATCCACTGTGTCAAGCACGCTTGTACATACATTGCTATCATCATCAGAAAAGTAAATCTTAACAAGAGGAGATAACCTCAGTTTTCTTCCGCATAGTGACAGGCAGATTGGAAACTTTCACCTTTCAGTTGGCAGCCCACCAATGATTCCGCAGTTCCACCAGAGCTCCTTAAAGAAAGTACGGCCATCCTAAAATCGCAGCATGGTTAGCTGATGCCAACGTTCAGCAGGGTTGGGAAAGAAGGAGGAATAGAAACAGGCGAGGGAGGAAGTGCGAGAAGTGATATTTCATTGAGTGGATGGCAATGAATGAGAGGACGCCGTATGAATGATTGCATATGAAGTATGGAACATAAAGTTTATGATTCGCTCTGTCAACCATCGCCCAGTTCACCATAAAAAATAAAAATGAACACAAAATCCTCGCAACATAAGGTATGAATTACTTCAATTCAGCAATGAGACAAAATTCCAAGATAAGTTTTATGTCTTTACATATAGGTGTGTTGAATTTATGAAGATGGTTTAGGTGTGTCATTTTTTAGCATTTTGAAGGAAAGAATTGCTTTATGCGAAGATGATCTCTAATCAGCCGGATTGTATGTACATAAACAGCTGGAAGAATGACTGAATTTTCATGGTGGTTTTTAATATTCACAACATTTTGTTCAACCAATTCCTGAAAATTACTCTATTCCTGTACAGGCTGCCAGAACAGGTGGCAATCAAAGATATTTTCACGTGGATTGTATAGAATTCTAGAAGGGTCCTGCAAGCACTGTGACGCATGAAGGTAGGGCCGGTGTCTGGTTTGGATTAGTACTGAAACACCAGCCCCTGGCGTGGTGTCTAACAGTAGACACACTAGCTACTCAATAAATGTTCCTTACATAAAACTTTGTGCACCATAGCTTCACTTCAGTCATCCAAACGAATTTTAATGTTTAATTCAAACTATTCAAAAAACATGATTTTCAGTCTTGAGAATGTTTTCCCATGAACTCTTTGGAGCCCCCTTGTAGCGCTGGGACATAAAAAAAAGTGAGAATTGAGCTCAGTGATGATAGGTAGACTGTTTTGTATGTTTCAAAGAGCTGTGAAAGCAAAAGTTCACTCATATCAGACTAAGAATGACAGTGCCAACATGCATTCCCAGGATGCAAAAGGTCAGAATGTAAATCAGTTGTTCACGGGAAGAAGACGACAAGATGTAAATAGGGAAAAATGTGTTCTAGACCGCAAACATGCAACAGAACCAGCTGGCCGCCCCTCCCCTGGATGGTAAGTCTCCTTCTTCGACTGACGACCTTAACCTTTCAAAGACGGCAGAAGCTGATCCTATCTGCCATCAGTCCTGAGCCTCTGCCTTTCGTTGAAGGGCGCTGTCCTCGCCCTTGTCTCTTCAGTCAGCACTGCCAGCCCCGGCTGCAGGATTCCTCACTTACAGGTCCGTCCCCACTCTGAGCAGAATGCGGGAGGGTCGTCTTTGACAGACCTTGACACTCACTGCCATCGAGTGGATTCTGACTCATAGTGAACCTATAAGACAGAGGTGAGCTGCCCCTTGGGGGATCTGAGGTTTTTAATTTTGGGGGAACAGACACCTCATCTTTCTCCCTCCAAGGGACTAGTACATTTAAGCAGCTGACTTTGCTGCTGGCAGCCCGATTTGTAATCCTCTGTCCTACCAGGGCTCCTCTGGCAGAACAGAGTACTCAAAACCGCCAAGTAGTTTCCTTCAACACTCCCTAGTCCATGGTGTGTGGGAGGAAGACGGGGCTTTCTACTCCTGCAAAGAGCGACAGTCTTGGAAACTCACAGGATCCGTTCTTCCCCGTCATATGGGGTTAGGAGTCACCATCGACTCGGTGGCAGCGAGGTTTTTGTCTGGTGTGAAGGCTGGTGGCACAGTAGGTCACAAGTCGGACTGTGCAGGGCAGGAATTGGAAACTTCCAGCTACTCCGTAGGAGAGAGAGGAGGCTTTCCTCTCCTGGAAGGATTTACAGTCTCAGAAACCACAAGACCAGTTCGACTCTAGTCGACAGGGTTGCTATGATGCAGACTTGACTCAATGACAGTGAGTTTATGATACGGGGGTGTAGTAGGATGCGAGGTGAACAACCAGGTGAACAGCGGCTTCCCCGAGGACAAGAGGGGGCTGTAAAGATATATAACCCAGGAACCCAGAGGGGCAGTTCTGCTCTGTCCTATGGGACACTGAGTTGGAATCAACTCAACGGCAGTGAGCTTGGTTTGGGTTTGGATCCTGTTATGCAGGAGCCCTGGCAGCACTGTCATGGGTTATATACAGTTGGAAGGCTGCCCTGCTGTGTGGGCAAACCCACTCGTTGCTCCTCAGGCAAAATCTGAGCCTATCTGCTCCCCTAAAGATAGGGGAACCCTGGAAACCCTGGAGAGGAGAAAGTAGTATGAGACACTCCAAGGCTGTGGGGTTTGGGTAGCATAGTGGGTTACCTGTTGGGGTGCTAACCCCAAGGTCAGCAGTTCAAACCCACCAGCCTCTCTGAGGGAGAAAGATGATACCACGCTTGGAAAGATGTATAGCCTCAGAAACCCAAAGGGGCAGTTCGACTCTCTCCTCTAGTGTGACTGAGTCAGAATCAATTTGATGACCTGGGGTTTCATTTGGGGTGACTTACATTATTTTAAAGGACATTTTCTTTCATCAAAAAAATCCATCAGGCAAATGGAAAGAGACGTCTTTGTACTTTGTTCACATAGCACAAAGGCTAAGAAGCCCTGGTGGTATAGTGGTTATAGGTTAGGCTTCAATCCGCATGGTCAGCAGTTCAAAACCACCAGCCTCTTCACAGGAGACAGACTGGGCTTTGATAGTCTTGGATCTCCATAGTGGGGTCACTGTGAGTCAGCGTTGACTTGACGGCAGCGAGTTTGGGTTTGGGGTTTATAAATCCTCTGGCAGATAAGCATTATCACCCCCACTTTGTTTCAAAGCTTTGCTCTAATAATACTAGAAAGTTTTGCTGTTTAACTAATTACTACTTCAGTAATGAGGAGCGGGTCATCCCACAATGAGTAATCAAGAAGGCTAAGATGGGAAATGTGAAGGGCAAGTTAAAATAATTAGCAGTCCAGACACTAATCAGAAGGATGCTTGATGGCCACGCCATTTTGCTTCAATGATAAGACCAAGGGGTGTGTGCTGTTGACGAGAAACCTTGCAGTGATTTCTACTTCCTGCCCCCTTGGCTCATTCACCTGTGTAGCTTGGCAGCCTCCATCGATGTTCGTCTTAACTCTGTCTCTTTTGTGAATCAAATCAGATCGTTTATGTTAGATTTCACCTAAATGTCCTATCAGCTCATTTACTTATTTGCTGAGTGTATATTTCAGGACTTTGAACCTCTGCAGAGATAGACCAAAAGGTGCCCTGGCGATATAGTAGGTTACACATTGGGCTGCTAATTATAAGGTCATTAGTTTGATTCCAGCAGGGGCTTCTAGGTAGAAAGATAAGGCTCTCTGCTCACATAATGATCTACCATCTTGTAAACCCAAAGGGGAGTTCTGTTTTGCCCTGTAGTGTCACTACGTGTCAGAGTTGTCTCGATGGCAGTGGGTTTGGTTTTGGGTTTGGAGGTCAGGCACGAGAGCTCCTTAAAAAGAGATTAGGGGATGGAACTTCATTCTCTGCTCTCTGCAGCCCCTTCTTCTCCTCCCTCCTACCACATTCTGGTTGAAACGCACAAATTTATTTTAAAAACAAATTGGAACTTTGAAATCATTCTTCTCTATCTTTTTTCCTTTTATGTAACTAGGAAACTTTGCTGGCTATAATTGTGGAGACTGCAAGTTTGGTTGGACGGGCCCCAACTGTGATCAGAAGAAACCACCGGTTGTCCGGAAAAATATCCACTCGCTGACTCCTCAGGAGAGGGAGCAGTTTCTGAGTGGCCTGGACCTCTCAAAGAAGACCACGCACCCTGACTACGTGATCACCACCCAGCACTGGCTGGGCCTGCTCGGGCCCAATGGAACCCAGCCGCAAATTACTAACTGCAGCGTGTACGACTACTTTGTGTGGCTCCATTATTATTCTGTCAGAGATACGTTATTAGGTGGGTTCCCCCCAACCCCCTTCTTTTTTTCATGGTATGCAGGTTTAGCTTTGAGGCTGTGGGAGGTGAGAAGTTAATGTCAGACAAGTGAATTAACAAGACAGAAACCTGAAGGGAGTGTTGGGTTTAGGAAAGTCATGGACTGATGACATCCAGCCCAGCGTTCAAATGCAGTCTCTCCCTGTACCTGGCCGGCCCTTTAAATCAGCCTTTCCCCTTCTCTGTCTTCTTGGTTCCAAGTCTGAACTGGTGCCTCTGAAGCGATTACTCCTCAAAGGCGACAGTTGGTCAAGTGGAAGGGAATGCATTCTGATTCCAGAGCAGAACCTTTCTAACTCTGGTCGGAGAGGCCCTCTGTGGACGGCTCTTCGTATCAGAGGGATTAACCGAGCATGTGCCAAAGCACTGGGACATTCTTGGTGCTGAGTGAGACTGTGTTGGGAGTGTGTGTCCAGTTAAACGTTTGACCTTGCAGAGGATCATTTGTGGTACCCAGGCCCTGCATTTTAGAGACTCGGAGCGATGCAAGTGGTACATGCATTCAGTGGCTAACGGACAAGTTGGGTATTTGAGTGCGCCCAGAGGTGGCCCAAAGAAGGGCCTGGCAGTCGACTTCCCAATTCTCAGCCAACGTAGGCCAGGTAGGGCTGCCAGGAGCACAGTTGGTATGATGGCAACTGCATTTTGTGCGGGCGAAGTATAAGCTGAGGAATGTCGGCTCCTGCTGGTGGGTCTTTGGAGGACAGTTAAGTCAGGTAGTTGAGAACATGCTATTGGAGAGTCAGCCTTCTAGCATGTGGGGCCCAAGCAGATCATGGAAGAGGGGTTGTTTTCCTTAGAATGCCCATTAGCCAACCACGCAAGAGCCCTCTTGGCATCGTGTTGGCCTGCCAACCACAAGGTCGGCAGTGAGAACAGCGCCAGCCCGCTCTGTGGGAAAAAGAGCAGGCTCTCCAGTCCCATGAAGAGACGCCATCTGGGAAAGCCACGGGCGCTTCTCTAGCCTGTCCTACAGGGCCACTGTGAGTCAGCACTGACTCGGTGGGGTGAGTGTGGGTTTCTGGTTTTTAAACAAGCAGGTCAGATGGTGTCCTTAGCTCTATTTTTCCAGTCTGGAAAAACGTTAATACCAGTTTGCTCCAGGTGGATGTGAAGCCAGTCTAAATTCTTGGTAGAGTGGTTCTGAACTCTTGGCAGTACCTGCAACGATCCCCACAGTCAGAGCCCCGTGCTGGGGTCTGGGCGAGAGAGAAGACATAGAAGTTGCTTGGAATGGCGAGGGTTTCCTTTAGAATGGTCTGTCCTTGTCTTATCGCCTGCTTGCCATCACTCGATTTTTCCCTCAGCATTTTGTTTTGAGAATTTTAAACTTTGTTCTGGATTAAAAAAAGACACGATGCAGCCAAAGCAATGGCAGCAGTTCTTTTCTCAACATGAGTCATTTCAAACCTTGCCTCACAGGAAAGCACCTGTCTTTCTTTATCGCTACATAAGGAGACTCTTCTGGCTATAAAGCTTTATAGCTTTCCTGTCATCACACGGAGGAAATCTTGCTTTATGAGAGGGTAGTCTCCCAAGAGGAAAAGAAAACTATCGTTTCTGGACGCATCTAGGAATTAAATTTATATTCATGTCTGTTCAGCTCTCTGGATTAATTATAGGGACTTTGAAAAAGAGCTAAAGTTAGCTAAAGTTTCTACATAACAATCCAAAGCTGTTATGAAAGGGGGAAGAAAGATGGAACCAGCAGTAAGAAGGTCATTAAATTGCCCAAAGCTTTTCACTAAAATTGGCAGTTCCAGTGCCCAGCCAAATTGGTCTGAATCTATTTTTCGCTCCTCTGGTCTCAGCGACCATGCTTGTCAGCTAGTACTTATAACTGATTGATGGGTGAGGCAAGCCCCATGGAAGCTCTTTTTGGTATATAAATACTACATCCACATTAAGTACAGTTGAAATTGCCATATTATTAATTAATCCCTTATAAATCTGCGTGTGTAAGGATGAGGTGAGGAAACGTCTTTTAAAACTAAATGTTTAGTTTAGGTCTTAGTGATCTACTCTTTGGACACTCTATTGCATCTTAACGAGTTGTTGCTTAAAAATGGAATCTATCACAGGGGCTCCTAACGCAGGGTGTGACCTGGGTGTGACTGCGGAAAATCAACTGTTGACTCTTGAAGGAGGGTTTGTCTTGTGTTACTTGCATCTGAAATTGTTTTGTTGTTTTCAAGGAGATTGACATTTATGTTTTTCATTGCAACATCATGAACTTATTGGCGATATAGACACATACCTGGTTCAATTTGGCATTAAAAAAATTAGATCCTGTGGCTTCAATGCTTTTTCCCATTGTCGTAGGACCAGGGCGTCCATTTAAGGCTATTGATTTCTCACACCAAGGACCTGCCTTCGTTACCTGGCACCGGTACCACCTGCTATTGCTGGAAAGAGATCTCCAGGTTGGTAAAAAGTATGCATTTAATTACTGTAAACTCGCTAGACATGGGCTTAAGACTATGACGAGCCTTTCCTGCTGTTGGTAACGGCACCGGCTACGTGATTTGATGTGCCCTTTGCTCTTAGCGGCTGACTGGCAATGAGTCCTTTGCTTTGCCCTACTGGAACTTCGCCACCGGGAGAAACGAGTGTGACGTGTGTACAGACCAGCTCTTCGGAGCAGCCAGGCAAGATGACCCGATGCTGATTAGTCAGAACTCAAGGTTCTCCAGCTGGGAAATCATCTGTAACAGGTAATGGCGAATGTCCCCGCAACGGACATCCAGAGACCCTATTTTCTGTCTTTCCGTTTTCGTGGTGGCAAATACATTGGTTGTAAGATATCGACCATTTCAACTACCTTTACATGTATAGTTCAGTATACGTGTCATTGTATTCATCTGGCTGTTTAACCATCATCTTTATATATCCCAATATTGTCCCATCCCACAGGAGAAAGATAGGACTTTGCACTCCTGTAAAGAATTACAGTCTTAGAAACCCACAGGGGCAGTTCAACCCTGTCCTATAGGGTCACTCGGAGTCAGATTTGACTTAATGACAGTGAGGGTGTTTTCTGCAGTATTGTACCATCGCCTTTAACAGGAACTTAATGTCCCCTAAGACCGAGTTTTCCTGTCTCTCGCCTTGCTGCTCATCTCTGGTTTTGTTGTACAGGAGAAAAGAAACCCCAAATCTCACATATAACTTATGAAACCACATTTATTAAGTCTTAAACAAGACAAAGACACCTCATCTGAATGAGGAGCACATCAGCAAGAGACTGTGATGGTGTCTAAAGATTTACACAAGTACCACCATTTAAATAGGACACGGAGTGCAAGAGAACCTGTCATAAGTGATTGGCAGCAGATCATAGTGGGACTCCTTGGGGGACCGGGGAAGGGTGTGGGGTGTGCGGGGGAAGGGACCATGATTTGGGTTCATACATATTCTAGGTTGAAATGCTCCCAAGATTGGTTCTGGGCCCTCTGAGCAACCCAGCCATGATATGATGTAGGATCATGCAGACCCTAGTATCCCAAATTCCACCAGGGCCTTACTCAGGAAAGTCTGTAAGGGCTAGGGTGCCTGCCCCGGGCTGGCTAGGAGAGTGATAGCCACCCACGGTCTAACGTATTCTGCCTGAGGGCAAATAGATTCACAGTGCTGATCAATGGCAGAAAGAATTTAATGGAGGAAAACTCTCTGTGAAGATTCAAACATGGATTTAGGGCTTTCACAGTAAACTATAGCCTTTGGCAGTCCTCACGCTCAGAATTTAAAGTCTAATATGTAACTTTGGGTCCTACATTCTAGAAATTTCATGTAAGTAGGAGCACATGATATTTGTTAATTTGTGACTGGCTTATTTCACTCAACATAATGCTTTGGCAGCCAGAGATGATTTTCTTGTCCCTTAGTGAGTCACATGGAGCAATCACTTTATATTTCTAATTCTAACACATTCTGTTTACATATGCATGCATACACACATATATATTTATAAATCATTTTATTGAGGGCTCTTACAGCTCTTATAATAATCCATACATCAATTGTATCAAGTGCATTTGAACATATGTTGCCATCATCATTTTCAAAACATTCTCTTTCTACTTGGGCCCTGTTTTTCCTTCCTCCCACCCTCATGAACCCTATATAATTTATAAGTTATTATTGTTTTTATATCTTACACTGTCTCCCTTCACCTATGTTTCTGTTGTTCATCCCCCTGGGGAGGCATGCTATATGTTGATCTTGTGATGGGTTCCCCTTTTCTCCCCCTCAGCCCCCACCTTCCTCTTACCTTTATGGTATCACTACTCCTGGGGTATTTCTCTGTCCTGGAATCCATGTGTCCAGAGCTCTTATCTGTACCAGTGTACATGCTGGATTAGTAAGGTAAAAGTGGTTCATCAGGGGGCGGGGGTGGGGAGCATTAAAGAACTAGAGGAATGTTGTATTTAGTCAGTGCTATACTGCACTCTGGCTGACTCACCCCTTCCTTGTGACCCTTCTGTGAGGGGATGGCCAATTGTCTACAGATGGACTTTGGGTCTCTACTTTGACCCCACTCGTTTGCATTGGTATGATTGTCGGGGTCTTCTGATGCCTGATACATGATACTGTCAACACCTTGTGATCACACAGGCTGGTGTGCTTCTTCCATGTGGGTTATGTTGCTTCCCTGCTAGATGGCTGCTTGTTTAACTACAAGCCTTTAAGACCCCAGATGCTATATCTTTTCATAGCCCCGCACCATCAGCTTTCTTTACCACATTTGCTATGCACCCATTTTATCTTCAACGATCGTTATCAGGAAAGTGAGCATCACAGAAGGCTATGTGTTCTTGCATTGAAGGAGTACTTGAGCAGAAGACACCCAATGTCCATCTGCTTCCTTAATACTTAACATATAAATACTTGTATAGAGGTCTATATCCCTATCATTATATATTACTATATTTACATATGTACATGCTTATATTCATACCTCTATAAATGTCTTTTGCCTCCTAGTTCTTTTCTGTCTTTCTTTTTACTTTCCTCCTGTCCCACTATTATGTTCACCCTTCATTCGGCTCTAAATATTTCCTTTTGGCTACATTGCCCTTCATTGAACCCCAGCAGGAATTCCACACCGCCTCACCATTTATTTTGGATGCCTTATTGCTCTCTTGTCCTTGGGTTTCTTGGCTTCCCCTCCCATTCCCCCACCTCCCCCTCTCCTGATCCCCCTCTCCTCCCACCGGAACTGTTGGTCCCATTGTTTTTGCCTCAGGATTCTTTATCTTGCCTATCTTATGTAGACGGACATGAAAAAGAAGAAAAAGAAGAAAAAAGGGCCTATACAGTTCCAGGTCTGTCTGCTGACCCTTATCTATGTTTCCTGATTGAGCTGAGGAGGGCCACAGCCTGCCCTCTGAGTCTGAAGTCTTTGGGGTTCCACTGGACTGCGTTGCTTTGCTCCCCTGATGCTCCGTTGCACTTCCTTCATGTCTTGCCCTGGTGTGTGTCGGTGGGGAAGGGGTGTCACACTAGGCACAAATTCCATACTGTGTCTCCAGTGCTGTCCCCTGCAGCATTGTGGGTCAGTGAGGGGACATCAGGTTTTGCAGTGGGGCAGACCCTACAGTCCTGAGGTGTCTTGGCTCCTCTGAGCGGGAGTGTCATCCTCAGGGCTTGGTGGGCCAGGAATCAGCCTGCTCTTTCTCTCCCTCTCTTTCCTTCCTAGCTTGCTCTGGTCTGGGCAGACCCACCACTCTCCCAGGGCTGTAGCTTCAGTGCTGTCCTCTGCAGTGCAATCTTCTGGGGAGGGGTCGATATAGCTGAGACGGGGGCTGGCCCCACAGACCTCTGTTATGTATTCTTTTAAATGCCTTTCTCATGGATGGTGGGATATATAAAAAGTTACGTCCTTCAATTAAAAAAATCAAATGTATCAAAATCACTTTGGTGAATTAAATACATTTGGTCATCCTTTTGTGATCAATTGCTTTCAAAATAGGAGGAGTACTTGCATACAAACACGCTTGTTTAGCATTACTGAACTAAGGTCAATGACTGTGGTCCTTCTAGGCATGGTTCTCTCTAGGATGCTTTATGGTTCAGGACTCTGTACGCCTGTGGCTATGGTCTCAGGTGCAGAGGAAGAGGGTGAGAGCATGAGATGGTAGCACATCCATTTCGGGTGGAAGGAACAACTTGTGGGAAGCTTGAAAATGTTCCTGGGAGCAGTTTGATGCAGCTAGACCCTACTGGGTAGTTGAGGGAGAGAGCTCTGTGGAGCAGGAGAGGATGACCTCTGACGTACTAAACAAGAAAGAAGCTTGTAGACACCTGCAGCCCTCAAAGAGTTATATCCTCCGAGACTTTTTTCCAGGTACACATTGGAGAAAAATATTCCAAGGGCGTCCTTTACCATCTTATTCTCCTTTTTTTTTTTTAAGCTTGCTATCTTCTATTTCTGAATATACTATCATTTTAGATTAAAGTTTACACAACAAATTAGTTTGCTATCAGCAGTTTACACACAATTTGTTCTGTGACATTGGCTACTCCCCCTGACCAACCCTCCCCCACCCTGCCTACCTCTCCCATTCCCACTCTTTTCCATCCTCCCAGTTCCACTGAACCTCCTTGCCTTCTCATCTTTATTTTTGAACAAGCATTGCTCATTTGATAGTTGATTGATTGCTCTTGATCAAAGACAACATAACCGAGAGAAATCGCTAAAACCCAAATGAAGGCTGAGCATGATACTGGGACAAGAGGCAAGGAAAAGGAAATAGAGCAAAGAACTAGGAGGCTAAGGGCATTTATATATGTACAGGCATGTACATATGTAAATATATCTATATATGATAATGTGGAAATAGATCTATGTGCATATATTTATAGGTTTAGTATTAAAGTAGCAGATGAACATTGGGCCTCCACTGAAGTACTCCCTTAATGCAAGAATACTTTGTTCTATTAAATTGGCACTCCACGATGCTCACCTTCCCAAGACAAAGGTGTACATAAGCAAATGTGGTGAACAAAGCTGATGGTGCCCGGCTATTAAAAGATATAACATCTGGTCTTAAAGACTTGAAGGTAAATAACGGCCATCTAGCTCAGAAGCAACAAAGCCCTCATGGATGAAGCACACCAGCCTGCGTGATCACAATATGGTGAAGGGATCTGGTATCAGGCATCAAAGAATAAAAAATCATACCATTTTGAAGGAGGGGGAGTGCAGGTTGGGGAACCAAAGCCCATCTGTAGGCCACTGGACATCCCTTTACAGAAGGGTCGCAGGGAGGAGATGAGCCAGTCAGGTTGCAGTGTAGCAACGATGAAACATACAACTTTCCTCTAGTTCCTAAATGCTTCCTCCCCACCTCACTCTTATGATCCCAATTCTACCTTACAAATCTGGCTAGACCAGAGGATGTGCACTGGTACAGATAGGAACTGGAAACACAGGGAATCTAGGACAGATGATCCTTTCAGGACCAGTGGTGAAAGTGGCAATACTGTGAGGGTGGAGGGAAGGTGGGATAGAAAGGGGGAGTCAATTATAAGGATCTACATATAACCTCCTCCCTGGGGGGGATGGACAATAGAAAAGTGGGTGGGGGGAGACCTTGGACAGCGTAAGATATGACAAACTAATAATTTATAAATTATCAAGGGTACATGAGGGAGAGGGGAGCAGGAAGGAAGGGGAAAAATGAGGAGCTGACACCAAGGGCTCAAGCAGAAAGCAAATGTTTTGAGAATGATGAAGGTAACAAATGTACAAATGTGCTTGACACAATGGATTGTGATAAGGGTTGTAGGAGCCCCCAATAAAATGATGATAAAGAAATAAACAAGCAAACAAAACAAACAAAAAGAAGCATCCCCTCCCAAGTTATTGTTCATTTCCTTAGTCTAGCTATTATTTGGCTGAAAAGTGACCTCTGGCTTCCATCTCAGGTTAAAAAGAAGTTTGGTCACTTTTTTTTATAATGGGCACAATAAGGATCTCTTCCAGTCAATTGATAAACAGTTGTCTTCCAAATTTCTTGGCGTAGATGAGTGAGTGCTTACCGTGCTTTATCAGCTTGTTGAAACTTTTCAATTGCTATTTCCTCCATTCCTGAAGCCCTTCTCCTCCTCTTAGCATGACTGGTTAATTAGTCTTTATATTTATGCCCATTTTTATATTTGATCCATTAATGTTTTTGAAACTCCACAATACACAATTACTTTGGGGGATGATAATCTTATCAATTTTTAAAATGTGATAAAATTTCACTGTGGCTCTGATTGCAGTTGGTTTTCTTGGCCCAAAGTTATGATGCTCTCTGCGAGTTAAGACATGTTGCTTCTAACTCTTACAAACCTTAGCTTGGATGACTACAACAGCCGGGTCACCCTGTGTAATGGAACCAAGGAAGGCTTGCTGAGAAGGAATCAAATGGGAAGAAACAATGAGAAATTGCCAACCTTAAAAGACATACAAGATTGTTTGGCCCTCAATACGTTTGACTATCCTCCTTTCTTCCGGAATTCTAACTTCAGCTTCAGGTCGGTGTTCCAAGGTCTGCTATATTGGCAATTTACCATTCTTTTAGCTTTTCATGCTTTGGTTATAATGGACAATGAGGAATCCAGATCTTGGGAGGCAAAACTGAGTACTGGGGAGGATATAATAAAAAAAACATTATGGAAGGGGATACTAAGAAAGGTTCGTAATAAGGGATTGACTCACGTTGCGTTGATGCTGACTCATATTGATCCAATAGGACAGGGTAGAACTACCCCTATGAGTTTCAGAAACTGTGACTCTTCACAGAAGTAGAAAGCCCTATCTTTCTCCCATAGGGAGGCGGTTGGTTTGGAACCACTGACCTTGTGAATCGCAGCCAAACACATAGCCAGGACACCACTAGGGCTCCCTTCAGGATTAGTGTTAGGTAAACATTGCTGTTCCCAGGTGGTATAAAGAGTTTTCTTGGCTGCTGACCAAAAAGCAGGCAGTTAGCGTCCAACCGTAAGAAGAAAAGCCTGGCAAGGTGCTTCTGAAAACCCACCATTATTTACCTAAACCTCAGTAAAATGTTTAAAAAGAAAGAAAGATAGAGGAAGGAAGAATAAAAGAAAAAATTTAGTCCTTGGGAACACGATGGAGCACAGTTTCACTCTGACCCACAAGGGGTTGTCATGAGTCAGGATCAACTCAATGAGAACTGGTGATTAGTAGCCCCCCCCCCAAGAAGGTCCTCATCTGGCAATAAAGACAGAAATTAAGGTAACTGAGTAACTGAGTGTTATACCATATACGATAGAGTTAAAACTCAACTGAGCAGATGCAGAATCAGTACTGTTAAGAGCTCCCCCCCTTTACTCCAGATCATAATTAAAGGCAGAGTCTACTACTTTTTAATTAATTAGTTCTGGTAGACTTACCCACATCTCTATTCAATTTCACATTAAAAACCCTTTGCCAGATAATTCGGTCTACCAAGCAATGAGGAAGAGAGCCTGCCTCGTGGCCACAAATCATACACCTTCCCCTTTGTTGGTACATTTAAAAAGTCACTTCAGCAGAGGAGACCTCACCGAGCTGGGATCCGTTTCTCAGATATGGGCGAGGGAGAAGACCGTTTGGTCACTAACATCCAGCATTGCGGTGAGTTCTCCCCAAATCAACGGGCACTCCTCCCAGAATGGAAATGGAACCTTATTGGAACTTCACGTCAAGTTGGCGGAGGGAGTCATGCATGTCTCAGAGAAGATGGTTACATGTTATTGGTGGGTAAGTTGGTTGAAGCAACCGCCCATTGAGAAAAAAAATGTTTAACAATACTCATAGAGAAACAATACTTAGAATATGGCCGGCATTATGATTCAAATCGGACACTGTCAACCTAATGATCCAGGTCATGTGCTGTTGAATACTGAGACTTTAGACTCTATCAAGGCACACAACATTTTTCATAGGCCACACCAGAAGGACTTCAGGTGGAAACCCCACTAAGTGAGCTCGCTGGTAACTTACGTAAGGAACTGCCACACCCCCTTGGACTGAAGGCTGAACCAGCCTAGTGTGAGCAGAAGCGATGGCTGTCAGCCCAACGTTAGGAGGTCGGAGGTCACTGTCCTTTCTTTGGATCTCTTGCTTTCAGGGTAGCCAATGATTGGTGGCCCGGGTCTACCATATGCTTACTGTTTAATGCTCTACTTACTTTCTTATAACATGTATTGGTCTGGGAGGCATGGTTCTGCTTCTGTGAATGAGTGTTTTCTAAAGTTTTTCCCCACCACTAACCCCCACTGTTTAAACAGTGTACAGTCATTTAAGAGTTTAATCTCTACAAAACAACAGTTCATCTGCACAAATCAACAGATTAATCTGTACAAGCCCTGTGGTCTGAAACTAGCCTATACATGTATAATATTCTTTTCTTAAACATGTTTTTAATTCTATACAATTGGCTAAATTAGTGACATCATCAATAGAATTACCTTATGACCCAGGGGCCTAATTTATAATGTTCTCTATCATAAAATGAAAGTGTGGACCAGAGACATACATAAACCATAGATGTATTAATGGGTTTGGGACTTGGACTTAATTATAGCCCCAACCTAAGAATAATTAGTTATGACATGGTTCTACTCAATTCTCACCCTCACGAAGAGACCACTGAAGACATAGGTGCTAGAGAAAGTGTGGTGAAGAAATCATATGGTGACCAGGTAGCATAAGAAGCAGAGTCTGAGGTCTTCACAAACTCAGAACTCCAAATGCACTGCCATCACGTTGAATCTGACTCAGGGCAGTCCTAGAGGACAAGGTAGAACTGCTCCTATGGGCTTCGGAAACGAACTCTATGAATAGGTGCCCTGGTGGCATAGTGGTTAAGAGTTGGGCTGCAATCTGCAAGGTCAGCAGTTTGAAACCATCAGCCCGTTCCATGGCAGAGAGACAAGGCTTTTCAGAAACTCATGGGGGGAGGGAGAGGTGGGGTGCAGTTCTACCCTGCCCTATGGGATCACTATGAGTCACGTAGACTCGAAGGCAGTGAATGAGCGAGAACTCTACTGGAGTAGAAAGCCTTATCTTTCTAGTGGCTAGCAGTTTCCAATTTCTGGCCTTGCGTAATGCAGTCCAACGTGTAATGAATACGTCACCAGGACTCCTAGAAGTCTTAAAGGGTTGTCGTCAAATAAGTAACTGTTTAAGTGAAGCACCAACAACGTCTGTATACATAGAAGAAACACACTAGCTTTTGTGATTGTACAGAATAAAATCCAAATTGGAAGCAGGACATGGTATCCGAGCTTAAATTGTGAACACATGGCTTGCCGAAGGCTGTTGGTCACAGGGGAAGCCCAAATTCCATTGGCAGGGTCCACACCTGAATGAAGTGGCTGGTGAATCTCCTCTGACTATAGCCCAGGGATGTGAATAGCCTTGCTATCCAACATAGGGCATTGTGAAGTCGATGATGGTAGATGGAGTTAGATTAAAATGTAATACCTTAGCATTTGGTATTCCTTTTGACACAGTTTAAAGTTGTTACAGTTTTCAATATTTTCTGCTTTCTTTTTGATTGTTTTCCTCTAGTTATTTTGTTGTTGTTTTTGCTTTATGTGAATTACAACAATTTTAGACTCTTTTGCTGGCACAGCCCCAAGAATTCAGAATGAACCGGTTATGAAATGAGCAGATAAAATGGTAGAGAAAATTAAATCTATACAGATACTAACTGGATTAATAATTATTTAGGGGTATGCCAGGTGAGGATGGAGGAAAATGGGGGGCTACAACAATGAGTACGAGAAGAGAATATTCTGAAATTGATTGTGGTGATGATTGCACAATTCTTAATGTGATTGAGCAATTGAGTTGTATCATATGTGATGTATATGCCAATAAAACTATTTTTTAAAAATTCATTGCCATTGAGTCCGACAGAGTAGAACTGCTAGGCTTTGTGATGATGTAAATCTTTATTGGAACAGACAGCCTCATCTTTCTCTTAAAAAAACAGCTGTTGGGTTTGAACTGCTGAAGTTGCGTTAGAAAATTATGATCTAGGCTGGGAACAATGGAATCTTTACTGAACTGTAACTGTTGTTGCTGACATTCTGGTTTCTCCCAGGAACGCCTTGGAAGGGTTTGAAAAAGCTGATGGGACCCTGGACTCTCAAGTGACAAACCTTCATAACTTGGTTCATTCCTTTCTGAACGGGACAAACGCGTTGCCACATTCTGCTGCCAATGATCCTGTTTTTGTGGTATGTTCCAACACAGAAGAGACAGACACATTTCCAGATGCTATTTCTAGGTCTATTTGCTTTTACATCAAATTTTGTAATTTCCCCCTCTGTGAATAGTATGCAGAGGTAAACGGATTTCCACATACCCTGTGTTGTTTTTGTAGTTGTTGATTGCCATCAACCTGGGTCTGACACATGGAGGCCCCTGCTCCATAAGATTTTCTTGGACGTAGTCTTAATCGCAGCAGATTATTAGACTTTCTTCCACAAATTCTGCTGAGTGGGATTGAAATGCCAATATATTGGCCAGCAGTTGGGTTTCAAACAGTGTGAGGCACCCAGGACCTTAATAGACACAATAGGGATGTTAGGATAGCATTTAACGTCTCCCAATCAGCGCCTCAGTGGCACTGTTGGGTAAGCATTGGACTGCTAACCACAAGGTTGGCCACTCAAGCTCCTCATTGGAGAAAGCAGAGGCATCTTCTCCCATAAGTGTTTGTAGTCTTGGAAGCCCGGTATAGGGTCACAATGGAAGCCCTGTACAGGGAAGCCCTGTATAGGGTCACAATGGAAGCCCTGTATAGGGTCACAATGGAAGCCCTGTATAGGGTCACAATGGAAGCCCTGTATAGGGAAGCCCTGTATAGGGTCACAATGGAAGCCCTGTATAGGGTCACAATGGAAGCCCTGTATAGGGTCACAGTGGAAGCCCTATATAGGGAAGCCCTGTATAGGGTCACAATGGAGGCCCTGTATAGGGAAGCCCTGTCTAGGGTCACAATGGAAGCCCTGTATAGGGTCACAATGGAAGCCCTGTATAGGGTCACAGTGGAAGCCCTGTATAGGGAAGCCCTGTATAGGGTCACAACGGACTTGATGGCAGTGGGTTTGGTTTCTAATCAAATGATTTCGGGTTAGATTTTGAATGATCCCAGACAAGAGTCCACAGCCCAGAGGGGTGTGTTTCCAGCAGGGAGCACCCAGTCGAGAATCATGACGTCTGCTGAGTGAACTCCAGCTCGTGGTGATCCTCTGGGTTAGAGCAGAACCATCCCCTAAGGTTGCCGAGACTGAAAATCTCTATGGAGGCAGATGGTCATGTGCTCCTCTTATGGCGCAGCAGGTGGGTCTGAACCACTGACCTTTTGGTTAGCAGCAGAGTGCTTACCCATGATGCCACCAGGGCCCCTAGAATAATAAGTGGTACCCATTGGCGAAACAGGTTGTGTTATAAATACGTGAGGTTCGGGCACCAGTGCCCACGCACAAAGGAGACGTCAGAACCCAGTGCTCACTTCGTGTTTTGTCCTTGTCTCCTGATTAAAAGAGAGCTGCCCTGGAACATCAGCGTATCGACTTTGGACTTGACGTGGAATGCAAGACAGTGAGAATCGCCTAGTTGTGGCAGAGCACGCTGTTGCTCTCCGGACTCTACTTGTTCATAAATATTTGCAGGTTTATTAGACTTTGGTCTGATACACACGTTTTACTGCCTCATACTCCCTGGTGATAATTTTATTTCAGGTTTATTAGACTTTGGTCTGATACACATGTTTTACTGCCTCATACTCCCTGGTGATAATTTTATTTCAGAAGGGTGGATATATAACCACTTCCCACCTCCAACTTAAGGAATCTATTGATATTTTCCAATAATTTGGCATTTCACAGTGGGAAAATTGACACGGTCAGTTTGCAAAGAGCAAAGTCGATTCATTAGGGCTCTTTTACTTGCAGATGAAGAGAGAGCTGGGCCTCAGACTGATGTAGAGCAAGACATCCGTTTATGGGCTTATGTAGTTGGGAAGCTCATAGTTGCCGTTGGCGTCAGGAGGAGCTCAGTCTGGGGCTTCGGGTGATATCGCCGTTTTTTCATGATCAGGCCCTGGTGGCAGAGTGCCTACCCGCTCAGCTGCTAACTGAGCAGTCAGTGGTTCAAACCTACCAGCCACCCCACAGGCAGAAAGCACATCAACGGATTTTGTAAAGTCGACAGCCTTGTAAACCTTATGGGACAGTTTTACTCTGTTCTATAGGGTTGCGGCTGAGTTGCAATCAGCTGGGAGCAAATGGGTTTTGGTTTCTCTCTTTGTGTGGTAGACAAGATGGCTCCTGAGAGCCACGGACTCCCATGGCCCAGCTGAGTACAGTCAGCAGAAAGAAGTGCTGTATCCCGAAAACAGCAGAAGGAAATCTTCAGGATTGCCCCGGCTTGCCTTGGCCTTCCCTGAACCAAAACAGGGAGCTCCATTGTACATTTGAAACACGGTATATTTAGAATGTTAAATTTTATGAAACAAAAAAAATATGATGTCCCAAGGCTTTACAGAATCAAACCAAATGGGGATTGGTGGGGAGAGTGACAGTCGTGGTCACATGATTTCAGCTGCCTTAATCTATGGTCTCCAGCCAAAGTTCACCAACCACACACCCATCTCGGGAGAGGTGGGCTTATTACTTTTCGCAGGGAGAGACTGGAGAACTGTGAGAGTCTCGGCAAAGGCTGGAAAAGACGTAAGGAATTTGGAATTGTGTCAGGTGATTTGAGGGAGGGTTTGAGGGAGCAAGGTTTTCCTCTGGATTGGATAGCAACAATCAGGAATGTTCATTCTTATCTATAGGAAGAGCATACTATAGGAGAGGCTGTCATTGGCCAACACGTGGCAGTTGTTCCTATGTGATAGGAGATGAGCTGCTTGGGGTTTTGTGTCTTTGACAATATTCCGACGTTGTCTCTGCTCAAACACAGTTCCAAAGTGGCCGTTTTTGCCATAATTCATCTCAGTTGCCGAGTGGCCTTGTCTGATGTTGACATTCAATAGAACAGTTTATGTCCAACAGCTCAACGTTAAGGACCATCGATCAGTGCGAGGTATCTCCTTTATTTCTTTCTCAAAAAGAATTCCCCTCAGTTGCCTTAGAAACTTTGGGCAATATAAACCTTTTCTCAGCTGTGGAACCCCAGTAATAGTTCTGCTCTCTGCTGAACCCCAACATCATCTGAACACTCTGTTCAGGTTTGTATGTCAGAGTTGTGTGTTCCAGATAAATGGTTTCAAAGCAATTATTAGAAGTCTTACCTTGGATTTTTTTTTTAAAAAAATCAATGTTTTGAGTTTATATTATCTTGTTTAGATTATATTGTAGCACATATTGTACCATCTATACTCATGTATAAGCTGAGTTTTTCAGCACATTTAAAAAATCATTTTATTGGGGGCTCATACAAATCTTATCACAATCCACACATCCATCGTGTCAAGCACATTTGCACATTTGTTTCCATCATCATTTTCAAAACATTTGCTTTCTGCTTGTGCCCTTGGTATCAGCTCCTCATTTTTTCCCCTCTCTCCCCGCTCTTGATAATTTACAAATTATTATTATTTTGTCATATCTTACACTGTCTGAGGTCTCCCTCCACCTAATTTTCTGTTGTCCATCCCCCAGGGAGGAGGTTATATGTAGATCCATGTAAT